ACCTCCGACGGCGAGGCCTCAACAGTGACTTCCTCGTCGCTGCTCTCGCAGGCCATGATGTTGCCTGGGTTGCCGAACATCCAGTCGAAGAAGGAAAAGGGCTGGTTTCCCAGCGATCCGTTCTCCACAGGCGTAAGTTCGATATTACCGAGAACAAACCTGCGGAGGTACTCGAGGTTGCACGCGCACAGTCCATGGCCGTACGCCTTGAGCTCATCCAAATTGTCCATACTGCTAGCCCAAGTGAAAAAGATCTGTTCCACAGCCTCGAAATCTTGGAGGACAGATATTCAATAGCTGGTTCACTTGAGCCGAAATGGACTTCAGTTGATCTGCCCTTTCCATTTCCCTTCGCTGGACAATCCCTTTACACGATGATCGGTACTATCACACTCATGGCACTTTAGGATCTGGCCGCCTCTACCTCGCGGGTTCCCCCGCCTACCCTTACCTTTGCCTGAGGTATCCCTACGGCCTTTTCCACGGCCTTTTCCCCCGATAAATATCTCATCATACTGATCATCTGAAAGCCTCTGGAGGAAAGCCGAGACGCCTCGTCCGCTCAACCTTGGGCGACCCCGTTTGCCTGTACCTTTTCCTTTGAAGCTCCTCCGTGTCCTCCTCCTAACACGACGCACTGGCTTTCGTGTGAACCTCCTCCACCTCCGCTTTGCCTGTTGTAATAACCAGAACAGGTGGTCGGCACGCTGACTGCCCCCTTCCACTTGCATGATATCTGACCAATCTAGGGGCTCGACACCATCTGATGATATGGCATCGGTGTCGGTGCCGGAGTCGAAGTCGTCGTTGCCTAGGTAGGTGGATACACCGTCGTTTAGGGGATTAGCTTCACCCCATAGGGAACGGTGTGGTTGAGGTTCTCTAGGAGGAGGGCTGGTTGCCCAGCTTGGTTGCGATCGATCCCCTGTTAGTCGGGCAGTAGATTCTCCAGGATCGTCGGCCCATATGTTTGAGGGCCCGTTGCCAGGCTGAGCTTCAGTGGTTAAGGTAGTATAGAAATTTCCACTGCCAGTTCCCCTTCCCCTTCCAAATACTGACCCTACGTTACCAGGAGACCGTTCTGACAAATGGCCTATCGAACGCATCCTCTCACATACCTCATCATACTGTTTTTTTTGTGTCCGGGGCATTTGGTGGTTGAGTGGCTGCAAGAGTTGCATGGCTCGCTGGCTGCCAACGCCTAGGGCGCGGAACAGGATAGCAGTGAGCAGTTGGAAGTTGGGAAGGTCAAACCCCACCGGCTGCGCCTCAAGACGGGCCATTTCGAACCGAGTAAGGGTTACATTGATTCGTTCTCCGTGAGGCACATGAAAGTCGATGAGCTGAGTGCCTGAAGTGAGCTGGCGCTCATCTTCCAGGCGTTCGAACTTCATGCTTAAGAGGAACATAGTGTATGTTACTGGGTCGGTGTGGACACCATCCATGTCCGCACCATAGTTTATCATGTCATGTGGTACCCTCATAGCGAGTGTCCTCGCTAGGCCACCCAGGCCGCGTTGTATGGCGGCTGCTTGGGCCTGTGGCGTCCTGCGTCCGCTTGTGACGTTAAGCCACGCGTTGACCTCATAAACGTATTCGCGGAAAGGTACGTTGCCTTGAGGGTCCCAGTATGGGCCATGTGTTTGCCCATCTGTGCTGTTGTCTCCTCGGCGCATGTGTCCGATTGCTGCCCCCAGCGCAAACCATACGATGGCGATGATAACCAACCCATGGCTGCGAAGATATGGGTGGTTATCAGGCGCGTTGCCGCGCTGGGGTAGGGCTTGCAGCGCCGTGTCAATTCTACGAAGCGTTTTATCTTGCGGGTCTCCCCGCCTCTGCTTCAAGTACTGCGTTTTTGGCTCGTTGCCGAGCGGTTGGTAATAGCGTAGTGATGAAGCGTTTATGGTACCAATGTTGTTGTCTAGACGTCGTACCTCTCGTGTTGCTCCTTGCTTTTGAATTGATCCTCGTAAGTGTAGTTGGAGTGGTGGCGCAGGGTGGTAGTTGGTTACGAAGATCGTGCCGGATAGCGTGAGGATAAGAAGAGCTGACCACACGAGAGTGCGGCCAGCTCCGCTACCAAGTTTGAAATGACTATGGTAAGTCAAATAGCATCCGATTCCATGCTGTGTTAGTTCAGTATGGGGAATGGATGAATAAGATAGGATAAGATCGATGTAATGATCTTTCCAGCACATAGCGAACACCAGCAGTGTCCGGGCAAATAGGGCGCGCGTGCCTTGAGCCAAAGGCAGCGGCGCGCAGGCTATACTCCCGATCCTCTATAACACCTCCCAAAGAGCTACCCTTAAAGTTTCAAAGCGAACCCTGAAGCGCCCCAAGAGGGCGCCAAGACAGCCCAGAGAGTCTACCAAAACGGTTTCCGACAGCGTCAGACGGGCCAGGAACGCGTAAGACGACCAAAGAGTTCCTCAAGAAGCCCCCACACGACCCCAAGAGGCCCCAGGAGGACACCAAGAGGCATCCAAGAGGATTCAAAGAAGCTCCCAGGAGACCCAAAGAATGACCCAAGAAGTTCCCAAGAGGTCTCCTCATCGTCCTCCTCATCCTCCTTGTTCCTCCCTCTCCTCATCCTCTTCCTCCCCCAAGTGTTCACCGAAGAGTTTCCACAACGGCTGGGGGAACGCGTTCTCCAATAGCGTGGCCAAACTCTGCCCCAGCGTTTGGCCACATTGATGTATCCAATGAGGGAGGGGGCAGCAGTGATTCGCCGCAGGCGTCTTCGATTGTTTTTTGAAACATAAATGAAACAAAAAACACACACAAAAAACTGCCTCAAAACAAATCCCGCTCTCTCTACGACCGTCGACGCAAAATAAATACCTCAATGTGACAGAACCCGTCCTCCTTCCTCCTCATTCGCTTGGGCGCCCGAGTTATCCGGGGTAACTCGGGTCCGGGGTAACTCGGGTTTGGATTCCCGAGAAAGGAACCCGAGTTAGCCCTGACCCGAGTTACCCCTGATGATTCGGGGCCCTGGACGCCCGAAATATCCGGGGTAACTCGGGTCCGGGGTAAGTCGGGTTCGGATTCCCGAGAAACGAACCCGAGTTATCCCTGACCCGAGTTACCCCTGATGATTCGGGGCTCTGATCCTCCTCCTCCTCCGAACCGCGTGTCGCGGCAGGCGGCCCCGGCGACACGCCGTGCCGACGGCGAGCGGCTGGCCGTGCCGCGCCGCTACGCGGGGGCGGGGGGGGGGGGGGCTGCGGGCTCGGGACGTGGACGCCCGGGGGCCCGAAGATGGACAGCGTGTCGCGCCGCGGCGTGGCGGGCCAAAACTGGCGGGGCGACCCGCTGCGCACAGTGAAGGGGAGCTGGGACACACAAATAAATAGACACAAATAAAAGGATTCCCCATATTTTCACATATTTTCTGGGCTCTTGTCTTCCCCCCCACTTCCCATATTTTCCCATATTTTCTGGGAATCGACGATTAATTGTGTCTGTGTGTTTTTTCCCCTCCTGATGTCACAGGTTCCTCACCGCATCTGCCACCGCCCCCTTTGGGATGGACCTTCGGAGAGGCCATGGCGGGCGATGGGGATGGATTTTTCCTTCGCTCCTTTCCCCCCTTCCGTCCCTCCTCCCCCCACCTTCTCCTTCCCCCCTCCCCCTCCCCTCGCTCTACAGTTACTCAATATGAATACTACTCTGTACTGTTTTTTACACACAGGTTTCCCCGGAGTTTGGTTTTCGCCGGCTTTTTTCCAAAATGCTGCTCTCTCTGAGGCGCCAGCCTCATTTTCGAGCCCCGCTCGTTCCGAATCGTGCTCCCGCTGCAGCGCGCGCTGGCCTCATTTCCGCCGGCGCCTGGGCTGCGCGCCCGAGCCGGCGCCCGGGCCGGCGCTCGGGCCGCCTGGTCTGGAGCTGGTTCCGGCCGTCCCTGGAAAATGGAATTCCGAGGCGGCGCCGAGAAAAGGCCATTCTAAAACACATTTTTCTTGTGAAAATGCTAAATTTCTGCTTCCGGCGCCCAGGAGGACTCCAGGGCCGATTCCGACGCCCGGGCCGGCGCCCGAGACGGAGCCCGGGCCGGACGCCCGAGCCGGCGCCCGGGCCGGCGCCCGGGCCGGGTCCGGAGCCGGTTCCGGCCGGCGCGGGAAAATGGAGTTCCGAGGCGGCGCCGAGAAAAGGCCATTCTAAAACATATTTTTCTTTTGAAAATGCTCAATTTCTGCTTCCGGCGCCCGGGGGCCTCCCGGGCCGATTCCAACGCCTGGGCTGGCGCCAGAGCCGGCGCCCGGGCCAGACGCCCGAGCCGGCGCCCGGGCCGGCGCCCGGGCCGGGTCCGGAGCCAGTTCCGGCCGGCGCCGGAAAATCGAGTTCCGAGGCGGCGCCGAAGAAAGGCCATTCCAATACACATTTTTCTTTTAGAATTACTGAATTTCTGCTTCTGGCGCCCGGGAAGCCCCCCGGGCCGATTCTGGCGTGCTTCCGCTCGTTCCGAATCGTGCTCCCGCTGCAGCGCTGGCCTCATTTCCACGTTTCCGCTCGTTTCGACTCGTGCTCCCGCTGCAGCGCTGGCGCCATTTCCCGTGCCATGCCACGGTATGCAATGCAATGCTAGGTTGATACCACGCTTCGCGGTGCTCGTCTACGCCATGCCATGCCGTGCTCTACAATGCATCGCGTACCCTTTCGGGATCATTGCCCTGCTCGACATCCGACTGTGTGAGTAGAGAGGGGATCTGCGCCATGGTAAGGGATGGGAGGGAGGGGTAGGATGTCAGATATGACGCGAGCGCACCTAGCTTGCCCTCCCCCCCTCCCTCCCCTCCCCCCCTCCCCCGTTCCCCCCTCCTCCCCCCCTGCTCCCCCCCGCGCTTGCTGCGCGTCGGCCCCCCGCGCCACCCAGAGCCTGGACATGTCCGCATTCGGCGCCCGCCAGGGCCCCCTGAAAGGGACCCCCCAGGCGGTGGTCGGGGAGAGGGCCCCGCGTCCGACCTTCGGGCGGGGCCCCCCCGGCGGCCGACCATGATGGAACCGTCTGCGAACTCCTTGTGGCCCAGCTCGAGCTCCGCCGCCCTCGACTTGACGATCGCCCTCGCGCGCGCGTAGGTGCGAGGCGCAGGGGGGGCGAGCGGGTGAGCGACGTGGGCGTGGTCACCCGAAGCAAAGCCCGAAAGGGACGGAAGTCTGGGTAACCATGGAAAGCGGAAATCATGGGCAAGATGCCCGACAGCCCCAAGGCGGCACGCCCGAAGTCCTCCGGTAGTCCCGAAGGCGGCACGCCCGAAAAGGGTAAGCTCGGAAAGCATGGGGACGATGCCCGACAGGAAACGTCGTCCGAAACCGGCAACGGCCGCTGTTGGGCAGGCGACCTCCTGCCTCAAACGGACAACGTCCACAGCAACACCGACAGCGAATCGTGTTCAAAATGGAGACAAAATTAGATCGAGCCTCCTCCCAGGTTGGCTAGTACCGATCAAGGGCTCTAGACGCTTCGACGCCCCACCACCGAACCGCTCTCCTCCCTGTCCATTCCCTCCCTCGCTCCCTCACGGCAGGGCCCGGGCCAGTGGAAGAGGTACGCAGAAGGCACACACACACACACACACACCAGCACCACCACCACCACCACCACCACCACCACCACCACGTCTGGCTGCGGCCAGGCATGGTGGTGTAGTATGTGCCTTCTGCGGAGCGGGTGCGCTCGAAGAGCGACGGCCCAAAGGATGAATTACAAGACAGAGCAGGCGAGACGGGGGGGGGCGCCAGAGGGAGGGGGGGCAGGCGCTGCGGGAACCTCCCTCGCTGCACAACACCGATCCCCTGGCGGCCAAAACGACACGAGCAGCAAATTCGGCCGTGTCCTCTCCCATACATCCCTCCTCCTCCTCCTCCTCCTCCTCCTCCTCCTCCTCCTCCTCCTCCTCCTCGATATGCAACAGCAAATATCTGCATAGGCGTGAACTTCCTGTGATGTCTGCGGTCCTGCGCTGGGCCCACCGTGGCATCGCCTCCCTCGCCGCTTCTGGCGCGCTCGGCGCGGCAGGGGATCCCAGCGCCAATCCAAAAAATCTGCGGGGACACCAGAAAATCAGTGCTAATACAGTGTGTTGAGTGTCGATGGCTTCGGCATCGGCAGCATCATCCTCGATAACCCTCGGCTTCCTCCTCCTCGTCCTCCTCCTCCTCCTCCCTCCTCCTCCTCCTCCTCCTCCTCCTCCTCCTCCTCCTCTACCTCCTCCTCTTTTCCTCCTCCGCCGCCTCCTCCTCCTCCTTCCCTACCTCCTCCTCCTCCTCCTCCTCCTCCTCCTCCTCCGCCTCCTCCTCCCTCCTCCTCCTCCTCCTCCTCCTCCTCCCCTCTCTCCCCTCTCCTCCTCCTCCTCCTCCTCTTCCTCGTCCTCCTCCTCTGCTTCCTCCTCTCTGCCTCCTCCATCACCTTCTCCTACCCTACCTCCTCCTCCTCCTCCTCCTCATCCACCTCCTCCACCTTTTCCTCCTCCTCCTCCTCCTCCTCCTCCTCCTCCTCCTCCTCCTCCTCCTCCTCCTCCTCCTTCTCCTCCTCCTCCTCCTCCTCCTCCTCCTCCTCCTCCTCCTCCTCCTCCTCCTCCTCCTCCTCCTCCTCCTCCTCCTCCACACTCCTCCACACTCCTCCTCACGCATCCCGACGACGGGCGCGAATCATCTCCTTCTCATGGTAGTCCTGGACGTCCTGTTAATCCAGACCGAGCCCCTCCTGTCCCTACGACTGGTGTGCAGACATGTGCAGACCCTCTGAGGCCAAAGCGAAGGGGGATCTGCACGCAGGCTGGAGGAGACAGAAAAGGCAGCGGAGGAGCAGCAGCAAGGTAAGGAGGAGGAGGAGGAGAAGAGGGGGAAGCGCAGGGTCCAACATCACTCGACAGTCTTGGGTGTGTCAATGGTGGTAACCTTCTCGTCTATTCGTGTCTGGTGGGCTTCTGAGGCATGAGGGCGGCTCCAAGATCGCCCAAGAGGATCCCCAGAGGGACCAAGAAGGGCTCCAAGGCACTTTGAAGGACGCCCAAAGGCGCCCCAAGAGCATCGAAATAATTGCCTCTACGAGGCATCCGTGGGAGGTGTTTGGGCAATGGTGACTCCAGGATGGTAAAAGATAACTTAAGATAGCATCCAACATTGCACAATCCCACCAGCCCTCTGGGCGGAGGTGGTCTAACAATTTCTTTCTTTCCTCTTCCTCAAAACCCCTCGTCCCCTGCGGGGAAGGGTTCATCCCTCCCCCTACCCCCTCCCTTGGCATTTTTCGGCCGCGGTTGCGGGTGGCCGGAGGGTCCTTTTCGGCCCCTGGGAAGGCGAATTTTTGATACCCCTCACGAGGATCGTGGCCCCCGATGGGGGGGACCTCGATCGGGAGATGTTTGCCTTCTCGCCGTTTCGCTTCTGATGCGTTTTGGGGCCCTCAAGATGGCCCCAAGATGACCCAAGAAGGCCCCAAGAGGGGCCCAAGATGCCCCTAAGACGGCCCGAAGAACGTCAGGAGCGCCCCAAGAGTTCCAAGAGCGCCCCAAGAGACGTTCAGGGCCTCAGGGGGGGACCTAGATCGGGACCACCCCTCCATTGATCGATAGCCTCGAAGATGACCCCAAGAGGCGCTCCAGGGTTCCCAAGAGAGCCCCAAGACAGCACCTCTTGGGCCCCAAGAGGGCCCCAAGAGAGCCCAAAGACGACCCCAAGAGGCCCCCGAGCGGCCTGAGGGAGCCGAAGATGATCCCCATGATGGCTCAGATAGCACCTCCAGGGCGATGGGCGATGGCACCGCATGAGAATGCCCGCTTCTCTGGTAGGGTGCAGCTAACAGCCGCGGGATGTGGGAAAAAATGCACTCGCCTGAGACATACTGGAAGTTGGGTTGGGAATGGCACTCGGGGGGGTAGCCGATTGCCTGCACGGGAAGAGCGTAAGCGTAGAACTCGCCGTCACCCATCAATCAGGCCATCTCCAGGGCCGTGCAAGGGGGGTTGTAAGCGTAGAACACGCCGTCATCCATCAATCTGGCCACCTCCAGTGCCGAGGACGGGGGGTTACATCGCCTGAGACCTACAGCTCACTTGGGGGGGTGTAGACTTTAGCAAACGCTGCAGGAAGCTGGTTATGGACAAAAGCTTCGCCTGGGGGGGTCGACGCCCGGCGGGGTCACAGCGAACAGCCGCAAGAATAGGAGAGAAGGTTTCACCTGACACATTCCCACCGGTCGGAGGGTGATTAGCCGCAGAGCGAAGGTGGGTAGCTTCGCCGGCGGTGTGATGACTATCTGGTAGGGTGCAGCAGACAGCCGCGGGATGCAACGCACAGGCAACGTGGGAGACTGCCCGGTGCTCTGGTAGGGTGCAGCTAACAGCCGCAGGAAAAGGGAGAAAAACGGTTTTCGCCTGAGACATGCTGGCGATCTGCCTAGGAGCGGCGAACGGGGGGGTCGCCGAGTGCCGCCCCGAAGCACTGGAAGCAAGGTGGGGGAAGATGGTGGATTTGTGATACTGGCCACGCACAAGAAGGTGGACGTGCTGCTGATGCCACTCGCGCTGGCCGTCGAAGACCACGCCCCGGACGGCGTGGCACGGAAAGAACTGTCGAACTGTCACCGTCATGCCACTGCTCTCCTTGTGCTGGCCGGACGGGGCTGCTCGACTGCGTCGCACACAAAGTCGCACTGCTCGAGGTTGCGCTGACCGACTCGACAACGCCCGTGCTAGAACACGATGCCGACGTGGAGCTCGCCGTGGAGGTGGCCGTGAGATTTGCACTGTCCGAGACCGTACTGGTCGTGACCATGCAGCTCGAGGTCGCTCTGTTGGTCATCCGAGACGTACTGTGATAGAGACGAGCACTGGGAGTCAAGCTGCGGACATGAAAGCTGTGCTGCTGAACCCGCTCGAGCTAACCGTCGTGCTGCTGGTGCCGCTCGAACGGGCCGTCGGGGAACGCGCCTCGGCCACCTTGTTACTAGAACCTGCCGCATCCGTCAGCGACGTACCACTGCCCACCGTGGAGCTGGCGCGACGCAGTGCGGTACAACTGTGCGGCGCTGGTAACCGAACTATTTGCGCAGCTCGTTTCGACCCCGCACGCGTTGCTGCTCAATGAGGACGCGGCGCCCACCGTGGAAAAGACCGTGGGCGCCACTCTGCTCACATGTGACGTACTGCTGGACAACGGGGTCGGGCTGGCTGCGGGGCTGGTCGCCAGCTGGCCGTGGGGCTGGCCGTTGGGCTGGCCGTCGGACTGGCCGCGGGACCGGCCGTGGGGCTGGCAGTCGGGCGGGCCGTCGGGCTGGCCGTGCTGGCCGTGGTGCTGCCAGTCGTGTTGGCCGTGGGGCTGGCCGTGGGGCTGCCAGTCGGGCTGGCCGTCTGGCTGGCCGAGGGCCGGGCAGTCGGGCTGGCCTCGGGGCTGGCCGTCGGGCTGGCCGTCCGGCTGGCCCTGGGGCTGGCCGGGCTGGCCTGGCCGTGCAGCTGGCACTCGGGCTAGGCCGGCCGCCGGGCTGGCCGCGGGGCTGGTCGCCAGGCTGGCCGCGGGGCTGGCCGTTGGGCTGGCCGTCGGACGGCCGTGGGGCTGGCAGTCGGCCTCGCCGTGGGGCTGGTAGTTGGGCTGACCGTCGGGCTGGCCGTGGGGCTGCCAATCGGGTTGGCCGCGGGGCTCGCCGTGGGGCTGGCCGTCGGGCAGGCCGCGGGGCAGGCCGCGGGGCTGGCAGTCGGGCTGGCCGTCGGGCTGGCCACGGGGCTGGCCGTCGGGCCGGCCGCCCGGCCAGCAGTGGGGCTGGCAGTCGGGCTGACCGACGGGCCGGCCGTGAGGCTGGCAGTCCTGGCAGTCGGGTCGGCCGTGGGGCTGGCAGCTTGGCTGGCCGTGGGGCTGGCCGTGGGGCAGGCCGCGGGGCTGGCAGCCAGGCTGGCCACGGGGCTGGCCGTCGGGCTGGCCGTCCGGCTGGCCGCGAAGCTGGCCGTGAGGCTGGCCGTGGGACTGGCAGCGGGGCTGGCAGTCGGGAGGGCCGTCGGGCTGGCCGCGGGGCTGACCGTAATGCAGGCCGCGGGGCCAGCCGTCGGGCAGGCAGTCGGGTAGGCCACGGAGCGGGCCGTTGGGCTGGCCGTCCGGCGAGCCGAGGGGCTGGCAGCCGGGCAGGCCGTGGGGCTGGAAGTCGGGCAGCACGGGGCCGTGGGGCTGGCCGTGCAGGGCTGGCAATCGGGCTGGCCAGGGGGCGGGCACTCAGGCTGGCCGCGGGGCGGGCCGAGGGGCGGGCCGCGAGCCGCAGCGGCGGCGCCTGCCACCGCGCCATGGCACCGCCGCCGCCGCCGCCAGCGAGGAGCCGGCAGCGGCGGCGGCAGCAGCAGCGGCCGCCGCGAAAGCGGCCGAGACGCCGGCCACGGCGCCGCCGGCCGCCGCGGCTGCCGCCGCCGCCGGAGAGGAGCCGGCGGCGGCGGCAACAGCGCGGCCGCGGCGGCGCCGGCCCCGCGCCCTCCGCCGCCCGCCGCCGCCGCCGGGGTGCCGGCAGCGGCGGCGGCAGCGGCTGCGGCAGCGGCCGCCGCGAAAGCGGCCGTGACGCTGGCCACGGCGCCGCCGGCGCCGGCCACCGCACCCTCCGCCGCCGCCGCCGCCGGCGAGGAGCCGGCAGCGGCGGCGGCAGCGGCAGCGGCGGGGCAAGCGGCCAGCGCGGCGCCAGCCGCGCCCGCAGCGCCACTGGCGCCGGCGGCGCAGGCAGCGCCCGCGGGGGCCGAGCTGGGGCGGCCGCCGGCCGCATCCGATGGCGGCGGCGGCGGCGGCGAAGGCGACGGAGGCGGAGGGCCGCCAAACCCCGGCGGGGCGTCCGTCCCGCCGAGCCGCCACCACCCGCTGACGGCGGCGCAGCGCGGCCCCGGAAAGGGCCGCCCCGGGGGCGGACATGGCCCTGGCCCGATAGCGCGCAACTGAGCGATGGGCGGGTTCGAGCCGAGGCGGCTTGAGCCACGGGGGCTATGGAGCCCCCCAGCCGGTGACGATACTTTTGGTTAACAGGCTCGCGAGGCGGGTCGAAAGCCGTCCGAACACTAGTCGGGCCGCGACTAGGCGGCAGGAAAAGAAAGGCAAGCGAAGCGAGCGGGCGGGCAACCGCTCAGAAGGAGAGCCAGAACCGACACTCTCAACCTGGTGGCGTTGGAAATCCCGGTGGCGACCAGCAAGTAAGCGCAGCCAAGATGGCGCGGCGGCGCGACTATAAACACGCAGAGGTCGACCGCTCGGTGTGAGTCAGACAAACATCACCGTCAGAGACGAACTAGACCGACAGGCACACCCGGACGACATCCGTGCCGTAGGCGACACAGATGCCAAAACATCGTGTCGGCGCAAGAGTGAAGAGGGGCAACCACATCACCGACAAGACTGCAAACGGCAGTAAAACTTGTAACACTCGTCGAAAGCGAAGTCCATGCAGGAGACCGTCGGCCAACGAGCGTACAGAGCCACACTTGCCAGCCTGTGGGGATACGCGAAGCGTGAAGAATAGCCCAAGTTGGTGCAAGGTGGCATCCAACAAGCGTCTAGTCCAAGAGGCCCCCGAGACGCTCCAAGGCCGGCTCCGAGTGGCCTCGGAGCCATCGTTGTTGCTCGATGGCGTCCTGGATCAGCACAGGGAGATCCCGAAGGCCTCTCACGCGAGAGCCCCAAGAAAGCCCCGAGGTCTCTACAGTTGCCCCGAGAGAGCTTCATATGCTCCAAGTCCAAGAGGCTCCGACATCGAAAGATCCGCGGAGGCCTTTACGGATGACTCCTGGGTCCTCTCGGGCTGCCTTCGAGGACCGACAGCTGCTGCGACACGCAAGGCGTCAAGAATTTTGATATCCGATTGGGTCTGGGTGGGCAAGTGGTGACACAACTATGTCGCAAGCTCTCTCGCGGCACGGACTGCGAATCCAAGGAGGAGACCCTCGGCGGGCGTGCGCCCCACGCAGCGGCCGCGCGATCCTCATGCTGGGCGGCAGACCTGTGGGCCGCAGGTATGTGCGTATACGCTCGCCAAGACAAAAGGCATGCAGAGGTGAGCAGCCTGGGCGATCGAGGAAACCAGATGGAGGAGGACGGGGACACTCAAGGGAGACGAACTGTTGTGGGATCGATTGGCGGATAATCGACACGAAGAATGGAAGTGTGGTTGAGCAGACTCTGTACGGAAAGTTGGACGGCCACTCGATGCACTCGCAGGGAAAACGCGTGGAGCGAGCGGCGTGGCTCCAGGCTTGAGACGGCTGGGGGCTGAGCTGCCAAGCGTGGGCGTGACAGCAATCTCGCTCAACCCCCCGCGGGGTCGAAACTGATTTTGTTTCGAACCGCGTCCAGCCGCAGCGACGCGGGGATCCCTTTCCTCCCGCCGCACTGCTGGTCAGACGAGATGCTGGGCCACCTCAACCCCCAAGCCGGCTCCAAGTTCGAGGCAGTGGCCGAGCGATCCCGCAGGAGCCACCGTATGAAGCGGAGGGTCCGTCTGCTAGTGGCCAGATCTGTTTGTCCTCCTTGGCACGTGCACGGCCTGCCCCCCTGGGGCCGCTCCGATCACCAGAACCAGCACAAATACTCTGAACAACGAACAGCTGAATCAACGCAGACTTTCGGAGGCCCTCCTCCTCACCCTCCTCCAAATCCGCCACCCCGCCTTCAGCACGCAGTGGGGTGCTCTAAGGCCCACGCAACCCCGACACAATACTACTACTACTACTACTACTACTACTACTACTACTACTACTACTACTACTACTACTACTACTACTACTACTACTACTACTACTACTACTACTACGACTACTACTACTACTACTACGAACACGACGA